TTATTCAAATAACCGTTTTGGCGAAAGGTGCGCTTACGCGATAATGTAAGTATGTATGTATATTTTTTCGAATGCTGACTTGTTTTCTTTTTATGAATTCTAACTAAGCCACGATTGAAAATTAAAATCAAAATTTCAAATTCAGGTGTCTTGGCAGTTAATGGCTCAAGAACGTCGTCGTACGAATCGAATGACTAAGAGATTATTTTCCCACACCCGCCCGGAAAACACCGTCGCCCGATCCGGCACCAGCGCACACTCTTCCAGGCGAGTCTCGCCGTCTCTTTCTCTCTCGCCAATCGAGTCTCGCCATCTCGTTCTTTCTCGCTCCTTTTCTATCTCCGGCTAACGAGAGTGTGACGTAGCTCGTTCGCGTCACGATTCTGACACACACCGCACTCGGCGCACTCTAGAGTATCTTTTCTCTAGTTTCGTCTCGACGGTTGTTGCCGCAAATTGAATCGTTCCTCGCGCTGTCGCTACTCCTTTTTCTTCTTCTTCTTTTTTTTTTGTTACCGCTGAATCAAAAACAACACGGTGTGCCATCTGATGGTGTGGAATCGAGAAAACATGACCGCGCGGGTGTGATTTGCTGATTTGTGAGCCGAAGTGTAGAGTGCCGTGATTTTTCTCCTATACTCGAAACTGGTCGAGAGTGCGATTTTTCTTGTGTGAAAGTGATTCATGCGGATGTGTGTTGAAGACGAGACGGTGATCCGCGTTGCTAACAGGATTACTTTCTTCGATCTTTTGGATTAATTAACTCACAAGGATTTCGTCATATCTGGAATCGGTAGACGATGTTAAGGATTACTTGACATGGTTAGTTTTCTTTCACTCCTCAAGGCTGTCTTTGCTTATTTATCTACAAATTACGTACGTCACTTGATTGCGCAAGAATCTTCGACTTGCTTGTCGGGTTTTTTGAACGAAACAATTATATTCGATTTGCGTACTTATAATCATTATAAACATTGCTGTTATCTTTTTCGTTTTTGTGTCAATTCAAATAGAAAGTCGTTACACACTGTGACATGCTTATCAGCTGTGTCGACTCCCCTAATCCATTCAACCCTCAAGGCGAATCTATATAGATGAACTTCAATAATTGGAAATTATCTATAGTCGTTTTTAATGACCAAGACATTTTTTTCATATTTTCTGACCCCATCAATGTTTTTGGCAATTCACTTTACGTATCAGTCAGCAATTCAGGAACATTTATTAGTATAATAATTGATTTATAGATAATGATATGATATAGGTAGATAACTAACGATAACTAAGTAGATAAGTTGATATGAATATACCTATACCTACCTATACCAATTCATGTTTGATTGATACCCGAATGTTTAAAAACCAACTTCATTGTAAAAAAATTAACAAACAATAAGAATTTCACACAATTATCAATGAACGTATGATAAATGTCATTCTATCGCAGAAAACAACGATTATGACGTTGATTTGATAGACAATATCCGCGAGAATATCCGAGACAATACGTTACCACAACACAATATCATTTCCAAGAAGTTCCGTACCTACTCGGTTCCGTAAAATGAAGGAAATCAAGTAATACAATTTTATTTATTCCGGCGGCAGTGTGGTGGACAATCTTTATATCGGAAGTGTGGTGGGATATAACGTACCCCAAATTTGACATTTTTATGTTTTTCAATTTCCAAACTCATGACGTATATCGTAATTATTATAATCTTAAATCATATCAATATCACAATGACATATTAAAAACAATAAATCATGATGAATGTCCCGTTCGCTCAATTGACAGAGCTTTGGGCATGTAACCCAGACAGAGGTTGTGAGTTCGATTCACACGCGGAACGGTGGAGTTTTTTCATTTTCCATTGTCACTCGAAATGAGAGCTCTACATCTTCATCATTATTTTACCGAATAAGTTAGGCGAATCAATTTTAGATCAATTCATTGTATACGAGAAAAGGGTGTTTGATGAAGGTTGGCCTCTGATAATCTCACAAAAATTGAGACAAAAATATACTCATGCATGAGGAGAGACGCATAACTCGAAACAATTCGACCACTTTTGTCCAAAGATTTTTTTTCAATATTGTAAACTCAATAATTGTAAACCTCGACTATACAAGAAAAAACAGCCTGCATCGTGACTGTGTAGATACCTACTGTACCTGCCTACCTATCTTGCCCTTTCTTCATCGGAATGTCTCGTAGTTATTTCTGAAATTGTCGAGGAAATTGTAATATTCTCTGCCTGCAATGTGGAAACTTTCGGGAGAACGAGAAAGTAATATTCCTTTGTGACAAACGTTCATTTTTAGAGTACATATTAAAATCCGAGATAAACCCTCAACTTCGTAAGCATAGAAATCACAACTAACTCAACAACATACTCACCAACTCACAATTACAGCAACAAGAATAATGTTGAATGTTGGTGTTTCGATTTGATATTTCACAAATTGATATTTGGTAATGGTTACTTGTTTGTTATTCATGTATGTACAATTCACGTCAATATTGCTAGGATTGGAATGTTTTTCACAATGATGTGAATATCGATATCAATTCATTTCGAAGGTTTTTCGTAAACACCTTATCTTCATGCATCATAAGCAGATGCATCTTCTTCATCTCAGTTATCTTTCCATGCTAATGAGAATAGCATTACATTACAGACATTTGCTACCTACCTACTGGATTTTGTTGACGAAATGCGTACTCAACTGTTGGTTCTAGTTGTTTGTTATTGAGGATTTAGACGTGGAGAACCTGTTGAAATGTAAACAAACTCGAAGCAAAGGAACATAATCGTTATTGATAATAAACATTGTTGATACATCTGTTTTTAAATTAACGGCAATTATAGGATAGGCTGGATATAGTGGGTATTCCAAACTCAAATGGAATTGAAATTTAAAAAATGGATTGAAACGTGAGCCCATGAAATAAATTGCTCAACACTTTTGAAACGTGAAATCGAAAGAAATTGAAAATTGGTCGAGGCAAAAATGTCTCGAAAATATTCGATCGCACCTCGGATCGCACGTTTTGAGTTTTGTACCTCGTTTTGTACTGTGTTGAGCAGTTTAGATTGAATCTGATTGAGTTATAGTCAACAAAAACAATTTTGTTTGAAACAAGTACTTGTTGATTGTTGAAGTAGAAAGTATCATTTGCTGCCGATTTTACTGCTAATAAAATACCAAACTCAATAATACTTACTAAGACTCACTAAAAATATCTCGAGAGAAATACCTAGTTTGAATAATTTATTCAATGATAGGATAATGTAGATAAGAGTTATTTATATACTGGAGTGTTTGGTGAAATCAGATCTGCTATATAGGTATTCGCGGTAATATGTTTTTTCCATTTGGAAACGGTGGACTCTTATCACCATATTGTTATTGTCAAAGGTACCTGAACACAAATACAACAGAGCTTGCCGCGGAGTCAGCATACAAAATATTATTAATAACAATATTTTTGGTGTTATCTCAAGATAACAATTTTGTAAATCACAACGATTTCACTGCGTTGAAACCATGGTTGACACTCATGTCAATCAAGCTGTGGTCAAGTTTTACTAATCTCCATCAAGAATTGGTGTGAACTATATTATCGACAAGTGTTGACCAAATCATATCTGAACGTTGGATGATCTCTCACATGATACATACTATTTTGATTGGTGGAACTAGACATCATAACTAAGAGATCTAGGATGAACAGAGTTGCCAAGTTGCCCTGATTGTCAGTAGGAGCGTTTGGGCCCATCAGGCCTCATCAGCCGCTCTCGGTCTGCTGACAACTGGGACAACTCAACGGTTCGGGTATATCACCCATTTAGAAGACGGAGGATAATACATGAGGATCGAGTCATTTTAATTAGTATTATATGCATGTATAATTTTATATTGATTTTGGAACATGAATAGGCCCTGTATAATATCGTATATTCCATGTGACGGACTTCATTGTGTTTTGATTATCGAAACTAATCGAGGGCATCTACAATATTTTTAATTTCCACTGCATTGTTCAATGCAGAATAATGGTGCTAGTAATTCCACGCTTTACAACCACACTCGCCACAATCATTTGAAATTGTAATAATTATGAACTAGAGTCAATGAATCAATGAATACAGATGGCTCGACGATTGTGTTTCAATTTCCAATTCTTGATTATAATAATCGGATAACGAGTCAGATAATACTGGGTCAGTTTCATATTTGATTTTATACTTTGAAATTTTTTAATTTCAGATTATTTTACACGCCATTGCAAGAAAAATTTCAGGAGAATCTTTTTACTTCGCTTTCAACATGATCGTTGTATACCACTTACCTATTTTATCTCCTAATGCACAATGCACCCATGAAAAGGAATACCTTTGGGATTTTCTAATGACACATTTTTACATCAAAGAAAGGAGCACTTGATATTGCCAAAAATAACAAAACGGAAAGCATTTTGGAAAATATTTTCGGGTTGCTGCGTTGCTGGGATATATAACGGTCAAGATAATATAGTTATGTGGGTGAGGAAGAGCATTGATCGCTCGATTGTTCCGTACGACACAGACACGTTATGTTATTTTAAATGTGACAACACTGCTTTCTCCACTTATATAGAGACAGATGAACCCTTAACTTTCATGGGAGGTTTATACTTTTTATGGGACAGTCTTGATGGGTTTTTGGGTTGAGGCGAGGGTTGAGGTGAACGTAAGACTAGGGAAGAGTAGTTTGGTCTTTTCTTCATAAGGTGTTGGTGGAAGATATAAATTATACAGTCCTCTTTTTGGGGTACTATTATTATTTGTACAAAACATGCATGAAGCCACCTTTTTAGGTTAGTTCAGGTCAGGTTAGGTTAGGTTAGGGATGGATTAGGATAGGTTAGGTCTCGGGTTAGGTTATAGATCCTCGGTTAGATCCTTACAATTCCACGATTCGATAAAGTTTTAATCGTGGTGTTCCAAAACATGTTTGGGGCTCTTTTTTTTTTTCTTCCTAATTGTCGAATCTGGAGTCTTATACTGGGTTTCCCTGTTTCCCTATTCAAATAATTGTTCTAAAATTGTTCTATCCGTCATTCGGTTGCCCCCTTACGAGCAACCCTCAGAAGTCTTCGAAAGTCTTGTGCGAGCAAGGAATGACGGGGGCCTTACCTTTTAACGTGTGATCCCAAACACTTTCTTAGGCCATCAGAAAAAGTCTGCGTTCGTGGGACTCGAACCCACGATCGATACCTCGACGTGAATCGATATTGAAGCATCGAAGCACTGAGGTACGCCGGCCAACCGATCTTGTTCATTATGTTATACATATGCATTTTTTTCTGCAACCGACACAAAAGTCGTCTATTTTGATACCAAAATTAGCTCTTGAATTGACGTTTCTATTACTGACACAAAAATTGGTATGTTGCTAGACAACATATTTAGTTCCTAGGAGCTAAAGTTGAATTTTAGTTCCTACGAGCTAAAGTTCAACTTTAGCTCCTAGGAACTAAAAAGGATGTACTGGACGTCATCAAGAATAAACAACATTGTGACGGTTGGTTATTTGGGTTGAGACGCATACCTGATTTGTTTCCGATTTCATCAGATTTGGCATTTCATACCCCTCATGCTGGAGATATAAATACACCTTATTATAGTTTAGTATTGGAATCATAAACATCTCAGTTGAGTATTTTTGTTTTGATCAGAGAAGCCTTCAAGATTCAAATACTTGCTTGATCTGTATTTCATTCGTTATTCTCGGGATGGATAACTTGTTTTTGAATAATCACAGCGAGCAATAGTTTTTTGTCTCAAACAACGATATTGTTTAGCTTCATTTGATTATCAAGTTGAACGCAGTGTAGTATGGAGAGGAATGAATAATCACTATTATCATTGTTGATATGCTCACTAACCTAACATTTTCAACGTCTTGTTCCTATAGCTGGCACTGGCGCGGTATTTGCCAATAGAGCACCTGGTCCATACACAAATATGTCACTCTGTGGTTGTATTTATATTGAAACTACAATTCGAACATCCTTGAAAACCTAACCTGCTGTTAATGCAGGTAGAATATCCTTACCACATGGATTATTTGTCAATATTTGTTGCATTGCATACATATGGCACGGCATTGGTGGTTACTTTACATGTTTATTTGAGTTGATTGTTTCGGTTGCAGAAAAAATAGCATGTTTCATTCGGATCAAAAGTGACTTTGTTCGACTCGCAAATTTTGCTTTTGCTCGGCTTCGCTAAACGCTCCGCCTCGCAAATGCAAAATTCGCTTGTCAAACAAAGTGTCACTTTTGATCCTAATAAAACAATCTACTATTAGTGATCTTCAACGCAAAAATGTTCACACCATCGCATTTAAACTATCGTAGCACTAATTCCTCAATGACTGATGATGGACATATGTATATCCGAAACATGTTCCCCCCGATGTAATTTTTCACAGTAAACTGTCGTGGAGATGTTTTTGTGTATTATTTCAACATCTATACTGTACTCCACTTTGAGAAATGAGATTATTATTGTCATCGATGATATCGTGTAATTTCGTTTTTTGTTTCAGCGTGGAAAGAGACCGCCTCCGTGAGCGAGAACGGCAGGCGCGGGCCCAGATGACTTCGCAGGTGGCCGAACAGGAGAGTCCGGGCCTGCCCGGGAATTACCTCTTTCAAGCGCCGATCAGGGTGAGTTTCTCACGAAAATTCCAGTTATTAATGAGAACAAAATGAATGGAAACATCAGATGATGACATAAATTATCATAAGTATTATCTCGATGTTCTTAATAATCGAGATAATTATGTCGCTTTCTTGTTCACAAAATCGTGTCGACGAGCAACATAATTGAGTTAATAAAGAAAAACAGAATTATGAGGAGATATTCAGAACAGAGTGATATTTTGCTAGACTATTTTAATTATTATAAATGAGCGATATATTCTGACTACAGCTGTATACCGAGCTATATACTGTCTGTAGGTTAATCGCAGGTGTTACATTCATTTTACTTGATTATTTGGAATTTCTACAAAATATAGATATGAGTATTATTTCAACTATGTGTAGTAGGATAAATCCGATTTTTTGTCCCAAAATGCCACTGTGTTTTTTCTATCAGGGAGCCTAGAAGAAAAATATAATAGCTTGTCAGTGACACTTTGTTTGGAACGAGGTTTGGATGGATGTTTGTAGAGACGAATTATATAGGTACGTATATATTGAAAAAATATCGAATTTTTACTTATCTTTGGACATTTCGGGAACGGATCTGCTCCCGTTCTCAACATGAAAATGCAAAATATTTTCCTTCGAAAATTCTGTTCTAGTTTGACACTTCTCAGTGTCATAGGTACTGATGTTGGCATATGGATGAGGGATGACGTTAGTATCATATACGTATTAATAATCAATACGGATATCTGTTTCCATAGCGAAACATGAAGCCGATTTTTGAAGACAAATGACTATCCATAAGGAAAAGTTTTGAAACGATCAGACACATAATGCTTTGATTGAAAGTGAAAGGCTAATAAACGTCATTGTCCACCGAAACGCATGTCTTTGATGACTACTATAATAGCGCATGGCGCATGCGTATCATGCCACCAAATCCTTATGGATATTCATTTGTTTCATATTTTTGGCTTCATCCTGGCACCCGTTATGATCCGTATGTTTATTAATACGTATATGGTTAGTATACAGGATGTTTTCATTAATTGATCTTAAATCTACCATTTTCATGTTCAGTTTTCAGTAGTGATTACCATGTTCTATCTATATCAACTGAACAGTAAGCAATGCTATTGTCTCCGTTCAGAAGAATGTAAGCGGATTCCTTCATTTTTTTCTTTTGGTTATTATCTTCGTTTCCTATGATTTTAATCGATTTTATTACTATTCCACGATTCACCAGATTGAAAACAAACAAAATAAACTACAACAAAAGCAACCATCAATAATGACAAATATAATACCCATTCCCGGCATATCTGAAAAAATAAAACGTGTTGGTGATAAGTTCCATGCAAGTGAAAACAGTGTTCAAAACTGAAAAAACAATGAAATCAATTCTAACTCAAACAAAACCGAAAAATTAAGAACAATCATCAATAAATTGTATTTATAGTATACCTTGTGTTTGTGGAAAGTATTATACAGTTGAAACGAAGGGACCTATCTCCATGAAAGAACACAAGTACAATATCGAGAAAAGACATCGATGAATCAAAGATAACGGAACAAATCCTCACTGAAAATGTACAGTGTGTCCAGTTTTCGATGCTTTTGTGGGATATCTCAGTTATCTTTGGAGATAGAACCTTGCGAGTTTCGCGGTCGTGTGCCACTTTTTTGTGAAACTCAAGATGGCCTAATCAGATTTTGCATAACTGTTTCCGTTTATGAGATACAGGGCGATTTCGAAAATTTATACTTTTTGGACCCCCTCTATATCTACGAGGTTTCCCAGCAAAAATGTCAAATTAAAATCTCATCCTATATAAAAGTTCACGCAGAATCCAGTGGCGTACCCAAATTTTTTTTTCGGGGTATGGTTTTGGAGATACGACTCAAACTTATGATTTTTTAAATGGAACACCCTGTATTTTATAAGCTCATAAAATTCCTCATTTTTTTCTCTTCAAAACGATTTATAATGTATGTATATGAAATTTTCAAAAATGGTCTGAAATCACTGTAACATTGAATTTTAATAGTGGGCTATGGATTTTTCTTATGAAAAAGTTCCAATTGAAGGAATATTCATTTCGATTTTTCCATAAAGAGGACAAAAACAATACCAACACTAATTAACTGAGGAAACACAAAAATTATGTACCTGATAGCAACAAATAAATAGTAATAAAAAGTTCATAATGTAGAATAAGCACCAGATCAAATATTTACAAATACAATTGAATTTCGGAATTATTCAATAACTTATTCACTGAATTGTTCAAATTGATGTCCATTTCCCATAACACACAATTGACACAGTTTCTCAATACGTCTTGATACAGTAAGAGTCACAAATATCTTGAAGAACTTCGTGCAACAACAGAGGCAGTTTTCCATGAATTACAAAGACATCCTTTAATGATTTTGATTGCATTAAGACGTATTGAGAAAGCGTGTGAGGGAAAGTGGACATCAATTTGAACAATTCAATGAATAAGTTACTATTCAATTGTCTTAGTGAATATTAAATCAGGTGCTTATTCTAGAATATGAACTTTTTGATACCATTCATTTGTTGTTATCAGGTACCTAATTTTTGAGTTATCTTAATTAACTAGTGTTGGGATTGTTTTTGTCCTTTTCATGGAAGAATCGAATGAAATATCCCTTCAATTGGAACTTTTTTGAAATAAAAAATCCATAGCCCATAATTAAAATTCAATGTTTTAGTGATTTTGGAGCATTTTTGAAAATTTTATACCTATTCATCATATTTCATTTTGATGGGGAAAAAATAAGGAATTTAATGAGCTCATAAAATACAGGGTGTTCCATTTGAAAAATCATAAGTTTGAGTCGTATCTCCGAAACCATACCCAGAAAAAAAAATTTGAGTACGCCACTGAATTCTGCGCAAAATTCTGTATGGGATAAGATTTCAATTTGACATTTTCGCTGAGAAACTTCGTAGATATAGAGTGGGTCCAAAAAGTATAAATTTTCAAAATCGCCCTGTATCTCATAAACGCAAACAGTTATGCAAAATCTGATTAGGCCATCTTGAGTTTCACAGAAAAGTGGTACAGGACCGCGAAAACCGCAAGGTTCTATCTCGAAAGATAACTGAGATATCACGCAAAAGCATCGAAAACTGGACACACTGTACACTAAGGCAGAGAGAATATTGAAATCATTGGAAAGGAAGATAACAACCAGAAGAAAATAATCAAGGAATCCGCTTGCATTCTTCTGAATGGAGACAATAGCATTGCTTCCTGTTCAGTTGATATAGATAGAACATGCTATTCACAAAATGGTAGATTCAGGATCAATTCATAAAAACATCCTGTAACTCATTTGTATACTAACACAAACTAGAACAGAATTTTCGAAGAAAATATTTTGCATTTTTATTTTGAGAACGGGAGCAGATTCGTACCCGAAACGTCTAAAGATAAGTAAAAATTCGATATTTTTTCAATATATATTATAATTCTTTTTTTCAAACCTTTTTCTGAACAAAGTGTAACTGACAAGCTATTGGATTTTTCTTTAAGGCTCCCTGATAGAAAAATTTGATCAAAGCAGTGACATCTTGGGAATGTACTACACATATATCGCAATAATACTCATATTTTTGTTTTGTAGAAACGAGGAGAGAAAATTCCAAATAATCAAGTGAAATGAATATAACATCTTCTTGATTAACCTACAGACAGTATTAAAAATATATCACCTCAGAAACAATGAGTAACCAAACAGAAAAAGATAAGAAGAAAAGAAAAGGGAGGAAATTGAAATTGAGAAACGAATGAAAAGATAAGAAGAAAACAATATTAACTGGAGGAAAGAAAGAAGAAATAGGTTAGGCAAGAACCAAAACAATGGAATTTTTCGAAGATTATTAGAAATAACCCAAAATGTACGGAAAATATAATGCGGCCAAAATCAGTTCGATTATTAATCATCAAGACAAGATCGGGGCGGCCCGGTGGTCGAGAGCGCGAAGGCGCTGAGTTCGTATGGGGACTCCCACCGAGGCATGGGTTCGAATCCCAGTTAGGCCATGGATGTTTGTAAATGTATGCTTTCCTAACCCCGCACAAGTTTCGACTTATGGGGCGTTGGATCCAGTGCTGGGTCCAACGAGGATATGCAATTAAAAAAAAAGATCAGAGGTGAGACCGAGGATATTGGATGTCCAAGTCATTAGTCTACCATGGGGTCAACCATTGCACCCGCATGAAATATATATTATCACTCGTATTATTACCTGTTCCGACTGTTCCATAAAATTCGAGAAAAACTGTCGTGGCATACTCAAGTGCCTCGTGCCTCCATCCACAAATCGTCCACAACTGAATAATCGAGCGTATAATTAAGCTATATTTTCTGCAATCATCATCATAATTATTAATAACCCTGATCAATTATTAACAAAAAAGTTATTGGACACCTGCTCCTCGCTATTTTATTTTGAAATACATGTTGGTAATCAATTTTTTTCCAAACAGCATCTGATATGTGCAGATGTCTACAGCTGTTAACATTGGACTGGTAATTTTTCTTCGGGATTCCTAAAAACCGAGGGTAAAACATTGAAAATGGCTAAAACTAGATCGAAACCGAGGTCGAATCACAAGAAACAAATTATGTTGCTTGACAACCACAGCTGAATCGTTTTTGAGCTGGTGATGAAAAACTCAACACTCTCTGACTAACAAACGCCATTTCTTCGGGCTCACATTCATGAATACTTTTCTCCATATTTTTGCTAAGCGGAACCTGAAGTACTCACGAAATCGTAAATAATAATAATAATAATAATTAAGTTCATTCAAAATGTTGACAATATAATAAATTAGATGTTATGGTTATGGTTATTAAATCAATTGATTAATTCGAGACAGAAGTACTTTATAAATAAAAATATATTTGTTTTTCATTCAATCATTGGTATAAGTACAATTCAGTACCTATACTGTTTCAAATTTCGTATAAATATA